GTACCCAGAGCCAGGGCCAGCCCTGGAGTTAACTGTAGACTCTCGTTTGACAGACACGGCACCCTAGGACACCGTCAATGGTAACTATGCCCTGTTCCTGCCACTTACTTGTTCATTGGCCTTGGCTAGTTATTATAACCTAAGCCTCAGCTTCCTCATCTCTAAGATGGGAATAATAAAGCCATTGTGAAACCCCAAGATGATAATATCTAAGAAACTCTACGCGTTTTGGAAGATAAACAAGGAAATTAGTGTCTCGAGTCAGAATGTGTGTGGTGGGGGGCGGGGTATGTGGGATGAGATCAGAGAAGATGAGGACTTCCGGTGTGAGGCCGTGGTCGATCTTGACCTGGGTGGTAGAACATAGATCTTTCATTTGTCATGCTTTATTAAACTGTACATATATGCTTAGCACACGCATGTTCCACTTCACAGTGAAAGGAGAAAACGTACCTTCTTTGCAAACTTCACATGTGAAGTATAAGCGCAAAACAGTATCAGGCAGCGTGCAGTCCCTGGGAACTGTAAGATGCTTGACTTCATCCAGCTTCCCAGCGTCGAGAGCAGCAGGACTGTGGCCCGAAGGAGCTGAGTGGCAAAGGTCGTTGGTTCAGTAAAGCTGTTTCCAGTTCAAAGGCTGTTGTTTTCCTTGCTGGGGCTTGCCTAGAAAGGTAGATCACTTGGGAGAAGGACTAAGGAAAGCTGTCAATCCACTCCAGTTAGTGTTACCTTCCCCAGGGCTTGTCCCCAGGGCAGACTGCTGAGCCCTCTCCACCCTGACTGGCTGGCTCAGGTTGCTCCGCTGCCCACTGCCCGACCTAGACACCCTTCTTGCCACACCTGCCCACCACCCCAGATTCTCCGAGAGCCCCCCTCTGTCCTCCGGGTCAGCACTTCTTGCTGCACTGGATCCCTTCTTACTTGCCAGGGGTCCTCAGACAAAGATCCCCAGCTCTCCCAGTCCCCTTCTAGACCCAGCCTCTCCATACTAGGTTCCCCTAAACTGCGAAGAACCCACCATTCTCAAGGCTTCTAAAGCTAGATCTGTATAAGGGCTACATCCACTTTCTCCACCCTGGCCAACAGGCTTTCCCCAGCCAAGTGGAGGCAGCGCCTAGAAGACCCAAAATGTGGAGGGCAGGCCCTCCTGCCACTCTGGCCCAAGACCCCATGCTGGGCCCCCCATGCTGGCACCAAGGAGCCCTCAGGGCTGAGCCCACCCTGCCATCAGAGGCCACAGGAATGTCCGTGTGGGCTAGCCAGGGCCTCCCCCATGGCTGACTCCCCTCTGTCTCTCTCTGACTCGGCTTCTGTTTGACTCTGTGATTTGGTCTCTCTCCCATCCTGGGTTTTCTGTGGCGCTCTGTGTCCACAGTCCATCCCAGCCCTCAAAGGGCAGCGGGCCTACCCTCTTGCTGTGGGAGGGCCAGGGCTTCTGATCCAGGCCTTTGGCCTGTGCCGCTGCCAACTCAGGACGTCTGCCCCTGAGAAGCGACTGAGGAGAAGATTTCCTCAGACAGCCCCAAAGTCCAGCGCTACAGTGGAGAGCAAGGCAGAGCGGGAAGAGGAAGCGGATAAACTTGGGGGCAGAATAGGAAGCAGGGGAGGCTAAGGGGAAGTTTTACATCATTAGGTGCCTGAAGAGCCACTGGGCCGGGTGGGGCTTGTCTGAGGCCTTACAGCTTGAGAGTGGAGAAGGAAGTTGAGTTCTGGAGAAAGACAGGGTCTTGGGTAAAATACCTGTGGTCTGAGGCCTAGATTCTAATCATCAGAAGTTCTCCCCAATGTCCAACCTCAAGCTTGTCTACCTTTTCTTGTGTGTTAATTCCTCACATACTCAAAATGTAAGTACCTTGTTTCACAAGCAACCCCACAAAGTGCTTGTAGGGGGCCCAGAGTCTTTCTCCCCGCCTGGGAAGCTACCGGTGTCCCCTCCACAACCACCAGAGACCAAGCTGTGGGCAGAGCCAGCTCAAGCCATGCAGACAATCTTCCTTTCACACGCTCGTTTATGATTCTCTTCCCACCTCTCCATCCCTTCCCCAGCAGCTGCTTAAAATATTTCTCAAACAGAAAAATCTAACCACAGCTGGAGACCAACCCTAAAGTTAGTCTGGAACGTGGGAGCTGCCAAGGAAAGTCGCCTGGGCTTTGGCTGGCTGTGGGAGGAAGGGCCTCTGCCTTGGAGGCAGGCCTCCTGCAGGGCTGTGCAGGCGGTACCCAGGCCCGAGGGAGGACAAAGGCTCCATCTCCAATTCCACAAATAGCCAGCAGAGATGCAGTGCACCAGGCCCCCTACCAGACTGCAGAGGACTGGACCTGGCTTCATAAAAGAGTGATGGGCGGCACAAGAAGGTTAGGATTTAGACTCTTCGGTGGCAACGTGCATTAGGGAGCGTTCGCAGCCCAGGAGACCTTGGCCTCAGCATTTCTAAATATAATGGTTCGTTTTAACCCCTTCGTGTGGCAGAGACAGGCAAATCCTTGGCGCTCACTGGCCAGCCAATCCAGCCAATCAGTGAGCTACAGATTCTGTGAAGTCTCTTCTCGTCTCTAGAAATAAACTGGAGAAGGATAAAGACACCAACACCAACATGGACTGACCTCTGTCATTCACAAACACACCCACCCTGTGCATGGAGACCAACACAATGAAAGAACAAGACCTTGTCTATGGCTGGCTGGATCCTCAGACCCACTGACATCGAGGACCAACCGCATTTGAAACAAAGCTCTAGTTATTATTCCCCGAACAATACCGTATAACCATGCCTTACACTGCCCTACAACATATCACATACAGTCTGGAGATGGTTTCAAGCACACAGGATATGAGTGGGCTCTATGCAATGACCATACCACTTTACATAGAGAACACAAGCGTCCTCGGGCTTCGCTGTCTGCAACCCTGACCCCAATCCCTGAGCATGCTGAGGGCCTGCTGTACAAGCAGCCTGAGATTTCAGAGTGAGACGGTCCCTGGGAGAGGGTCAGCATCTTTCCCCAGGTCTTTGTGGAGAAAACAACAGCTGTGTCTGGCAACACCATGAGCCTTTTGAGCCTCTGCGTACAGGCAGATTTAGAGAGATGAAGAAGGGACGGGGCCCAAAGGGCGTCTTTCAATGGATGGCATCCGGCACTGGAAGTCCTCACAACAGCCCAGGGCCCACAAGGGATATTGGTCCAAGGAAGATGCTCAGGCAAGTGGAGCTCAGCCATGGCTAACAGCCCCTGGGGTTGGCACACACACACATACCCTCCGGGTGTCCTGGCTTTTTTTCACCTCCTAAAGGCTCAACTTGTCTTGTTTGGGATGGTGGGGCCCACAGGTTAGCCACACAGCTCTAAACCTCAGGACTCAGGGGAGAGAGTGTCGTGGGCCAGAGACTTAGAGTCTCCCCCACCCCTCACGTTCCTCTTCTGTCCCCCGTGACCTTTCTTGGGGCCTCTAGTCCCTCTGGACAGATACCCTTTTAGATCTGAAACCTCCAGGAGCTCTGGATGGACACTGCCCTTTTCCATACCTGAGAGCTAGTCACAAATGCCCTGCCAGATGGATGCCCAAGTCTAACCCAAAAATTGTGGCAGGAATGTCAGGACACTAGCCTGGCTGGCTTCGTGGGTGCCTTAGATGCAAGTTGCTAAGGAACTGTTGGTGGAGAATCAACAGAGTGAGAATATTTTATTTCATGTCTACCGAATGACAGACATTGCTCTAAAAGCTTTTACAGATTAATTTCTTTTATGGTTTCAACAGTCCTCCCCAAGAGGATGTGACGGTATGGAAAGGGTTAAGTGAGGGTCCTGCAGCTGGTGACCGCCTGGGCTAGCACTCACATCTAGGCCTCCAGGCTCTGGAGCCTGCCCTTTTAATGCTGGCAGAGATCTGTCTGTTGCCTTTTGAGTGAAGTGCCTGCAGGGCAAGGATGTGTCCTGTTCCTCACTGTGTCCCAGGGCCTAACCTAAGGCTGGGCACAGGTGGTGCTCAGGATGAGGGCCAGGCCTCCCAGGCCCCTGGCAGACAGAGTTGGCCTTGACTAGATCAGGGTAGAAGGTGTATGTGGTAGAGGTGGAGTTACAGAATTGCTGGAGTCCAGGACTCTGTGCAAGTAACCTCCTCGTGGCTCATGACATCATGGGTAAAGGAATTCCAGCTCTTTCCCAGCTCTGGATTGACTAGACCCCAGCGGTAGCCTCCGGCTGCAAGAATCTACCTGTTTCAAGGTGGCCTTGCCAGCGAGGGGTGGGGGGGGCACCAAAATCCCTTCCTGCCTCACTGTGCCAGACAGACCAGGCCAGCCCGTGATCTGCAGCTGCAGGCAGATCAAGCTGCAGGCTGTGTTGTGTGGGTTTCCTCTCTCTGACTACCCTGCTTCCTGATCCTTCTGTGGAGGGGTCCACTGCCAATCCTCTTGAGGATTTTGTGGGAGGAGTCTTAGTCTCAAGGTGCCATCTACTAGCCTCCTGCGCCCCCTGGTGGAAGTAATGAGGAATGAAGCGTCCTGTGCATTGTAATCTTGAGTCTAACCTTCCAGGACTCCCCTTGGCCCTCAGTCCCATCTCTTCTCACTTGGATCCAGCTACCCTTGATTCAATTCCTGTTCAGTGGCTTCCGGCAACACATGTGGTGGGGATACTGTGTGTAAGTGTGACACTGTCCATGTTCCAGGATTCATTCTCACTCTCTCTCTCCCCCACTGACTTACTCATTCCTGCTCTTTGCCAGGCTCTTCAGGAGGTTCCAGGGTTATCATCCCTGACCTCAAAGAGTTCTAGGACACACAGCCTGACGGACTGACAGGATGACACACGAGTCCCAGAGTCCCTAGAGGGCCAGGGTCCAACACAGACTGACCAGATGTCACAACAGCAATCCTGACGGAGCAGTGGCTGGTGTGAGCACAGGAGGAGTGTGTGTTTCTATGTGTGAAAGGGTGATGACGGGCGTCGGTGGTGGAGCTGGTTCCCGGCGGAAAAGTCACGAGCCACGGCCATGACTATCAGAGTTACAGAGAGCTGTATTAGAAAGGAGGAGGGGACAGGAGGAAGGAGAGCCAGGCCTGGAGAAAAGGAAAGATGGCAGGAGCAGAGCAGAGCAGGGAAGAGAGAGAGAGAGAGAGAGAGAGAGGGATCCATGTCCAGTTTTTTTAGGCCGCAGATTGTGTGACCACACCACGTGTACGTAGTCACCCGTGTCCCCAATGACATAAGACGTAAGACCCCAAGCTGCGCATGTGCAGGAGTGAGGGCAGGATCCTAACATTCCAGACTTTTTGCTTATTGTAAAAAAGTGAGTGAACAGGAACAGGGGCGTCGTTTCTCCTGAAAAAACTGCTTTCAGCTGACCTGGTGGGCATCAGTTGGCTCTTGGGGTGGGTAGGGAAGGTGGCCTTCCAAGGTAGACAGGCGTCCTGGGATGGTGGGCTGTCCTGTTGCCCTGGAGCCGTCCATCCCTCTTGGCTTGGCACTCTGGCCGCTCCTGTGTCTGACAGGATGATGGTGAGACAGAAGAAGCCTGAAGTAGATCCACCCTGTCCAGATGGATTTAAGCTGGTTTCTGGAGCTTGGGAAAAATTTTGAACATGTTAAGAAGCAACCATGAGAAAATTAGTGACCATTGTGGTATTTAGTACTCTGCTTAATTTTTTTTTAACCTGAGATAAGCTTTATTAGAGGTAGTTTATTTAAGGCACCTGTTTCCTTTATTAGTTTAGCATTCAGGAGACACAGGTGATCAATTGCTGAGAGCATTCAACAGTGATAGACTGTTACATTAGAGTCTGTTTTTATAGAGCCCAGACACTTTTGGGTCTGGGAGTGTAAATACCTTTTGATTATTACTGTTTCTTACTTGATGATCCCTGGACTCTAGTTCTGTGGTGGTCCGAAGCAGCCATTAGCTGAGCAGTTAATTAGAAGAGGGAACCGGGAAGAGAAAAGCTTGTGGTACATGAGAACTTATTTCTTTGGTATTAGGGACAAGGCAGAGATCAGGGCCCTGTCTGTGTCACTGTGCATGAGGAGGAGAAGCACTGCTGACAGATCGGAGTGAGGCACATGGAGGGAGCAATGAAATGAAAGCTCCTACCTTAGCTGGAGAATCTTTTCCCATTAAGTAACCCTGAAAGTACAATTAAATCTGGTGAGGGAGTGGGGTAAGGCTGTCCTCCCTACCCCAACAATAGGGAAATGAGGAGAGGTGAGATCCCAAAACTGAGTAAATGGCTCTGGTGTCCAGAAGGAAAGAAGTGGATTGCTTCCATGCTACATCCTGGGTTCCCTGTGAGCGAGCCTGTGGCCAAGCCTAGGTCTGCTGGAGGTCTTTGTTTGTCCCCATGCCACTGGGGGCCTGGGTGCAGTCAGCTGACTAGTTGTCTCTCTAGGTGGCACTTTTAACAAGCTCAATTGATGGCCTGGCAGGGCAAGCACTAGCCCGAGTGGCCAGTCGGACAGCATGTACCAGCACTTGGCAATTCTGTTCTCGGGCTTTTTCATCTCTCCCCTGGTACACCTTAAATGCCACAGCTGAAACTTCCTGTGGGATCAGGCGCCTTGCTCTCCAGATGCTTAAGTTTTAGCCCTAATGTCAGGGAGCTTTGGGAGACAAGAGATGGAATTTTACTCCGTGTCTTGAATCTTTTTGATGTCTGCTGGCTTGGGGACAGCTTTAGGAAGACCTGCCAGGAGGCAGGCTACAAACTGCTCTCTGGCTGAAGAGCCATCCTGATTACTGTAAACTTATTTGCATGGATCCTAGCCTGTTTCCAGACCCACCCGTCTGTGCTTCTCAGGGCAGCCTGAGTTGGAGTGGGAGGAGTTAAGGTGAGTTAAAGCCCGCCCAACGCTGGAGAGCCGAGAATGGAAGTCAGATTGACCGAAGTGGTTGCACGTGGCGGAGAAAGAATCAGAGATGGAGGAGAAGGGGAGAAAGCTTGGGGATAAGGGAACTCTTTTTATTTGCCTGTTGGCTGGCGGAAGTTAAATAATTCCCGCGAAATATCGGGGTTGAAATGGCCAAATTTACTGGTATCTGCCCCTACATCCCATGGCTGCAGCGCCAAGAGAGAAAAATAAAAAAAAAAATTAAAATAAAAAACTGGGACCAGACTCCAGTCCCAGGCGTCCCTGAGGGCGGAGAAGGCTCTGTGAATCAGTGTGGGTCACTCCCTGCTTCGTCAAGAGAGGAGTAAGGGCTGGGCATGTACACAGCACAAGGACCACCCCTCCCCCAGGGCGGCGGCGGGGTGTGTGTGTGTGTGTGTCCCCGACAGCATTGACCCCTTCATCAAGGGAGAGAATGAGTCGGTGCCAGCGCAGCCCAAGGACACCCCCCCCCCATGGGGGTCCAACGCGAGGAATATAGCTCAGGCTGCAGCGGCGGGAAACAGCAGGGGACTCACCAATCTTGGCAGCACGTGTGGTCGGGGAGACGTGGCGGAGGCAGCAGTCTGGGAGGCATGAGCACAGTCCCGATGCAGTACCGTGGTGGCGGCTGCGGTGACGGCACAGCGGGCAGTCACAGGTCCTCGGTATAGGTGTCCAACAACACTCCGCCCCGGACACCGAGTGAGCAGAATTTCCTATCCGAGTCCACGGCACCAATGAAGGGATGATAATCGGCACTGGTGGCAGTGCTGGTTCCCGGGGAAAAGTCACAAGCCACGGCCAAGACTACCAGAGTTACAGAGAGCGTTATTGGAAGGAAGGAGGGGACGGGAGGGAGGAGAGCCAGGCCTGGAGAGAGAGAAAGATGGCAGGGGCAGAGCAGAGCAGGGAACAGAGAGAGAGAGAGAGAGAGAGAGAGAGAGAGAGAGAGAGAGAGAGAGAGGGGTCCACGTCCAGCTTTCTTTAAGGTGCAGATTGTGTGACCACGCCACGTGTACGTAGTCGCCAGTGCCCCCAATGACGTAAGACGCAAAACCCCAAGCTGTGCATGTGCAGGAGTGAGGGCAGGCTCCTAACAATGTGTGCTCTCTGTGTACATGTGTGCAGATGTGTGCACGTGTGTGTGTGTGTGTGTGTGTGTGTGTGTGTGTGTGTGTGTGTGTGTGTGTATGTGGAAGAGGGCAGGAGATACATTTGGACAACATGGTCTGTGCTTTGACAGCCACGGAGGGAATGTTGGGGTGGACAGCAGGGTGACTGAGAAGAGAGACTATTTGGCCCAGGAGCATGCAGTACAGGCATGTTTAGGAAGCTACAAATAGAGCTGTGTGGTGAGTGGTTGGAGTGTGTGCTGAGTGGGAAGAGGGCAGAGGGAGAGAGGAAACTATCTCAGGCTGTGTGGGGTTTGGATCTCACCCCGTGGCTGGGAGGAACCACCAAGGCGTTAATATGTGGAAAAAGGAGATGTCCACACTTTCACTTTACAAAAGGACACTAGACGAGACCACTAGACCCACTGGACAAAGAGGAAGGACTGCAGACATGCTGGAGATACTGTGGTCCATCTATCCCGGGCATGGGATGCTAGGCAAGCCTCATCACTCTGGGAGCCGTACACACCTCACCTGTCAGACGGGGGAGATGCCATGCAGCCTGTAAAGTTGGGAAGATCAAATGAGATGACATGTCCAGAGCAGCTGTCTCAGTGCCTGACCCGTAATACTCAGTAAATCAGCATATTGAATCAAGTCAGGGAACCAGCGGAGAAGGCTATTGCATTTGCCCTGGGGCCTCAGTGGATGCAAAGGACCTGGCTGCCATCACTCACTAAGGAGGAGGGGGGGACACCTGAGGATGAGACAGGGACTCTCCTTTACAAACTCCTGCAGTTCATCGATGCCCCTCATCCTCAGGCACCACTCCGGCTCCTGCGTGGCTATCACCCTCCTGGGTTTGCCACTGCCTACTCTTTAGTCTATCCACTTTCTCAGGGTGAGTCTACTCATCAGTCCTTTGCCTGGCTGGCCTCAGGAAAGGTGGTGGGAGTAGAGGGAGGCTGGGGGGAGCTTTGCTGGCTGAGCCTGTGAGTTTATGATCCTGTGCCGCAAGTCAACACTGATAGTCAAACACAAGACTCTCAGATGTGCGTCTAGTCACTGTTTGTCCCTGACAGCAAGCAAAGGAATTCTGGGTCAGGGGAGACCGACTAGGAAAATTAGCTGACTAATGCCTGGCTTTTGTCACTCACTCTCTGGGGAGTTGAAATCCAGCAAGCCCACCTCTGGCCCCTCAGGCACAGTTCCTAAAATTCACCAGTCTGGCAGCCTTTCCTTCCACACCTGCCCCAGCGTGCCAGCTGTTAAGATGGTTCCCACTGGGGAATAGTCTACCAGCGCTGGAGGGAGTGGGAAGGGAAGTAATTTATGGTATATGTGACTACTTTGTTCCCCATTCTCCTTAGAGCATGTGGTCCTCTGGTTGCCAGCCATACGGGATCCTAAAACTACCCCCCCCCACCCCCCACCCCCCACCCCTGACCCAAGCACCACATAGTGATGACACCTTCCCAACCATGGGTATAGTTAACATGTTGTAGGCCAGCTGGTCATCCCTTGGGTCTATAGGTCTCTTTGCAAGAGAGTCTTAAGATGTTAGTGCTTGGGACTGGACCAAATCTCAGTTCCTTTTCCAAGGAGCTAACCCAGCCCTTTGGATTTCTTTATTTAGTGTGATGTAGGTTTTTTTGGTTTTTTTTTTTGTTGTTGTTGTTGTTGTTTGTTGGTTTTTGTTTGGTTTGGTTTGGTTTGGTTTTTCGAGACAGGTTTTCTCTGTGTAGTTTTGGTGTCTGTCCTGGATCTCCTGTAGACCAGGCTGGTCTCGAACTCACAGAGATCCACCTGTCTCTGCCTCCCAAGTGCTGGGGTTAAAGGCGTGCACCACCACCGCCCGGCGTGTGATGTAGTTTTAATTTCTCAAATCCAGTTCCTTGAAATGTTCTCCACGAATGTTTTGGTAGGTTAAAGGGTGGCAGTAGATGCTCCTGGATGCTGGTAAGGAGCCAAAGCAATGTAGGAGCAAGAGGAGCTGGAGTCTCTGTGGAAGGAACTTGGGCAGGCTAGACTTCAGGTGCTTAATGAAGAAGGTTGGAGACCAGAGTCTCAGCATCACTGAGGGAAGGGGCAGAAATTCCCAGGGGAGTGGCCATACCACACACTGGACACACCAGGCCCCAGCAGCAGTTCTGCCTACCTGGGCAAAGATACTTGGTGTTTTAGTTAAGGCTTCTATTGCTGTGAAGAGACAGCATGACCATGGCAACTCTTATAAAGAAAAAACACTTGATTGGGGTGGCTTACAGTTTCAGAGGTTTAATCCATTATCATCATGGCGGGACATGGTGGCATGCAGGCAGACATGGTGCTGGAGAGGTAGCTGAGAGTTCTACATCTTGATCTCACAGGCAACAGGAAGTGGTCTGAGACACTGGGCATGGCTTGAGCATATATGAGACCTCAAAGCCTGCCTCCACAGTGACACACTTCCTCCAACAAGGCCACATCTACTCCAACAAAGCCACATCTCCTAATAGTGCCACTCCCTTTGGGGGGCCATTTTCTTTCACTGATCACTTGATCTCTGAGAAGAAAGGCCTGTGGGATTCTGGACCAAAAGTCCAGTGTGCCACAGGCTAAACAAGAGTGGTCTTTCCATGCCCTGCCTCCTGGGCTCTAAAAAAGCATGTCCCAGAATTGGAGGGATCTTGGGAAAGGAGAATTGACCTCAAAAAGTCAAGGAGTTTTCAACTCCAGGCTAGTCACTTGGGGGAGGCTTCTGAATTGAAATTCTAGTTAAATAGGATTCCTTCTGGGTTCCTGAGGTTGTAAAGAACTTTATAATACCCCTTGCAGCTAGGATGTTCACGGTACACCCCTGAGCTAGATCTGTGGCAGCACATGCATGTGGGACCTCCTTCCCAGTCCTGCACACAGCTCATACCTCTCCAGTGGCTCAGGAACCTGGCTTGGCAGACTGACTTGAAGCTTGGCTTTGGGGGGCCTCGGAAGTGTTATCAGTTCCTTCACAGGACTCTGTTCCGACCACCACAGCTGGGGCCGTTAGCTTCCCTGTATCTGGGTTCCTTCCCAGCTGCTTCCCACCCATGCTCTACGGAGGCTGCAGTTCTTAAATACAAAGGACTCTCTCCTTTCTTCTCTCTCTCTTTCTCCCTTCCTTGCCTTAAAGAACTGCCTTTGGGCCTTCACTTTGGCAACACATGAGCTCAGGGCTCAGAGATCTTAGGTTCATATGAGAAAAATGGTAGCACAAACCCTTTAAAAGGATTTATGTGCCCCTTCAGTCTGGGTGTGTGTCACAGTGGCTTCAGCAGAGGGTCTAAGGCTCTGTTCTCCAAGTGTTAAGGAGTAGACAGGTCCTTCTGTCACGGCCACCAAGGAGGAAGCAGTGGTCCTATTGTTTTTCTCTTACTGTCATTTAACCTTTTTTTTTCCCTCCAGAGCTGAGGACCGAACCCAGGGCCTTGCGCTTGCTAGGCAAGCGCTCTACCACTGAGCTAAACCCCCAACCCCAAGTGTCATTTAATCTTACATAGGTTTCTCATCTGTGGATAAACCAAAGGGGCGGTATGAGGTACCCTGAAGAGCACTTCTAAGTCAAAGTCCTAAGTTTCCATCAGTGCAGAACTCAGAACTCTGCAACATCCAGCTTCAGTAGGGGGAATGGGAGAGGGGATTTGGGGCTGAACAGAGACCCTCCCCGGGCTCTAGGGCCTCTAGAAAGAGCAGCACTCTTGGGGTCCCACTATCTATGGTGCTAGGGCCCAAAATGGTTGTGGAGAAACTGAGAAGGCTGGGAACTCAGAGATGCTCGGGTGGCCCCACTCTGCCCTGGCCACCCGGAGAGCCCCGGTGAGCTCACGTCTACAGTAACTCCACTACTCATAAATGGGATGGTGAGACAAATCTGGAAGCTAGACACGGGTGAGAAGCGGTGGCTGTCTCCTCAGGAATGTGCTGGCCAATTAAGACTCTCAGATGGCTCAAGAAGATGCAGGGGCTACTCCCTCAGGCCATGCTGGCCAGCCTCCAGGCTGGGTAGTTGTGCAAAGATTTGCTAAGGGTCTACTGCACACTGGGATTCCAGATGGATGTGAGCTAACATTAACCCAGGTGTGTGGTCTATCTGCCCAAGCCACACTTTGAGGAGCAGACGGTCAGATTCACTGGTGATGATCCAGGCTCCCTTTCTTAGCCCAGGAACCCAAGCCCTGCCCCTTCCTGACCCTAGGTTTCGTGTTCTCAGCCTTTCTTCCCCATTGTGAGGCAGCCCAGCCCTCAGTGTTTGAGGCTCTTCGTCCTCTCGAGCTGGCAGGTCCAGCTGCTGCCATCTGCTTCTCTCCGATCCCACCACATGCCCATCCAAGGTGTGGACGTCAGGTTTATTTGCATGTTAGCACCAGCAGTGTGTCCAGCGGAGGCTACACGTGGGGACACCTTTGTGAGGACGGGCTTTTGAGAGGTAGCATTTGATCCCTTGGTAGAGAACAGGGTTATTCTGCAGGTGATTTACTTAGCAGAGGCTTCTTCATGTAGGAATCAGCCAGACAGGGCTCTGACAGCTCTGGGTCCCCCTCTCTAAGAGCAGAGGATAGAAACTATGTGGCCTACACCGTGTGGCCAAGGCAACGTGCACAAGTTAAAGCCAAGCCTTTGGTTGAGCGTGGTGGCGCACCCCTTTAATCCCAACACTAGGGAGGCAGGGGCAGGAGGATCTCTGAGTTTGAGGCCAGACTGGTCTACAGAGTAAGTTCCAGGACAGCCAGGGATACACAGAGAAACTCTATCTGGAAAAACAAAACAGAACAGAACAAAACAAATGAACCAAAAAAAAAAAAAAAAAAAAAAAAAAAAAAAAAAAAAAACCCAAACGGAAACCAGCCATGGAAACAAACCAAGACTTTGCTCTTTATTTGCATAGTTTCTGTTTTTGTTA